TTTGTAATTTATATTCAGAGAAGCCCCTGGAGGCTTCTTTAACAAATCAATAAAGATATAAGCAAAACCTCACCTTAAAAAAAAAAAAAAAAAAAAAAAATAAGTAATCATATTAATCAAGATCATAACTATGCAGTTTATATAGTTTTTCTACATATTAATCTGCAGTTTAAACATCTCAAAGCAACTAATTAACTACTAGAATCAACTATTTTTATAGTTGGCCAAATAGAAATTATAGATAACAAATTTTATATTAATGCAAAAGATATTAATTATATTAATATATTTTTTTTCAATATTACACCTCTTATTGCTAATAATATACTATAATGCTAATATAAAAAATAAATATATTAACATTAAAAAAACAAGTTCTGAAACAAGTTGTCTCTAAGTTCAATTAATTTCAACTAATTTAACAAGACTCAAGCTTTTGTATATCTATTAAGACATTGCTAGAAATTTAAAAAATACATTTATGACTCAAACACTAGTAGCAATAATTTTGAATGATCTTGAAAGTGAACTTTTTGTAAAATATAAAAGATCTAAAGAAATTAACCAACTTATCAATATAGAATTTACTAATACTAATAACTACAAATCTGAAACAAGTAATCTTAACTTTACTGTACCTAACTAAGAAGATATTAAAAAACTAATTAAAAAATATAAATCACAAAAATTATCATATACAATTAATCAAAAATTAAAAAATATTCTATCATATTTATATTACTGCTAAAAATTTACAATATTTACCTACAGATATTGAATCTGATAAAGAATAAATACTTTATCCTTAACTTTTATTATTGTATACTGTATTTATCATTTTTTAAAAAAAAATTTTAACATTTTTTTTCTTTTTTTATTAAATAAAAAAGAATTAGGTTTTGTCTACAATATTATGATTTAGTTCAAACAAATCATATTTAATTTTGATCATATTTCTATATTTAACAAATACAATATATTAAGAATATAATAAAGTATATATATTATGCATTATTTTTAAATTCTGTTAATTATTAATTGATGCATGTCATTTTTTAATTGAAAATAACATATGTTATTCTTAATCTATATAAAACTGACAGAAATATTTATTATATATATTATGATTAACTGAAAAATTTTTTTTTGCAAAAACAATATTTAGTACTATAATTTATTTTTTGCAACTATAAAAATTAGGTATGTGTTTGACTTAAACTATTATTATTTGCACTATTACTTCAATTCAAATTATATTATTAAAATTTTAATTAAAATTCAAAAATTTTTTAATTACTTACTTTGAAAATGTATTAGTTAAGTGTTTTTAGTATTTTTAAATTGAGCATTTTGTATTAAATATTCTTGAGTTGGAGTTCTTTCATAGTACAAATTATATAACTTAGATGTTAAACATTATAATTTAATGTTTCTGAATATTATAAACTAAAAATATAATATTTTGCTTAATAGAATTTTTAATATATTAAGAATCTATCTATTAAGCTTTGTTTGTATATGTTTTTGATATTTAGTTAAAGAACTCACAGTTCAAAAAGATTAACTTTGTGGATTTATTAGTAAAAAAAGGAGAAAAACATATATGATAAAAGAATATTTTTCAAATTTTATTAATTTATTATTGATATCATTAATAGCCTATTGTTGATTTGCATTAAGAATTAAGATATTATTTCTTTACATCTTTAGATATAACTCAAAATAAATTATATGAACCTTATTTTTTTTAAATAAATAGTACAATGTCTATTTCTTTTATTAACTATATATATTGATATTTAAAACTTTACCAAGCTCTTACTACTGATGTTTTCTGATTAGATACCTTTTACTAAATACTTTAATAATTTAATTCTATTATTTTTAAAATTTTAAATCTATTATTAAAAGAAATTATAAATAACTTAAATGACAATAATACTATGTTTTAAATTTATTAAAAATATCTACTTTCCAAAATAAAAATAATGCCAATTAATTATAAATAAACTTTAGACTCATTTAAAAATACTTATAATATTGTAATTATCTTTTCAGATTTGATTTTATTTATAACTAATATATAATCATCTAATTTTGCTAATATTTATACTTATAAAAAATAAAACTGGATGACATAAAGCACTACTTATTACACTAGTATATATTATACTAGCTATATATATATATTTTTTTGGTATTTAAGTGATCTTTTTGATCTTTTTAATTTTATTAATATATTTGGTAGAGTATACAATTAGCTATATGTATAACTTTTTTATATTACTTATTTAAGGAGTCCATTCAGGAGTATTTTACCAGTTGCTATATCTAACATTTCTGCTTAGGTGTTCTATCTAAACTCTCTGATCTGAAACCTTGTAATAACTTCACTAGATTACTTGTACCTAGATCTTTGTCTTAAACTTAAAACAATTTTATTCTCAAGAATAAACCTATCAGAGTAAGCTATATATTTCCTATCTACTTTAATTTAGATTTTTTGCTATGACTAAGGTCAACACTTGTAAACATGATTATTTATTAAACTGCTATACTCTTGTAAAGTTTACCCAAACTTTGATATTCATCTTTTTGATATTTTCTCTATAATCTCTTATTAGTTGCAACTTAGAATGACAGACTCTCCAAACTTCCAATCTAGATGGCTAGTATAATATACTTATATATCCTTTTTCTCTAATAATTTTGACAGTCTAGTTGGTCATGTGCTTCTTTACACATCTTGTCATTCAGTTTATCTGACAATTCTTATGAAGATGTTATAAGCTTCTATTGGTTCAACAGTACTATCAAAAGTTTGTATTATCTTTTTACTTAGGATTTCTAAATGAACTTTTGTCTTTTTAGTTTCTTAATCTTCTACATCTGATGGTCTTATTACAGGTTTGCACCAAAGCCTTATGTAATACTGGTTTTTCATATTTTTTTATATATATATACTATTATATTTTGTATAGATACTCCAAGCTTTCAAAATTAGATGAGCCCCAATCTGATGTATCTAATATTACAGATGCATAAATTCAACTGATTAACAAGAGACAGTCACTATAATACAAATATAATTTTCAAAATTTATCATTTGTGAGAATTGAATCTTAGATCTGCTACTTGGAGATTACAACCTATTCATATTACTAGATCACCATACTCTTATACTAGCTATATATACTGCTATAATTTAAATAAAATTATTAATAAATTACAAGAAAACAGATTTTGTTAGAGGTCTAAAGTATAAAAAACTTTATTTTAATTATTATTAATCTTTATCTAATGTGTTATTATATATAGTACAAATTTTTATTGATTAATAATATATTATGAAAAATGTTTATTATATAATTTAATAGATTTTTATTGTCTAAAAATATAGTATCTTCAGCTATACTTTAGACAATTAAAAATCATTTCATAAATAAATAATAGTATATATTATTATTTAGAAAAATTATATGATACATAATAACAGTTATTCTAAATTAAATAATTAGTTTATTTAGATTATTCAACTAAATAAACTACTTTAGCTATATAGTTTACAAAAATAAAATTAGATAAGTAGAAGTTGAAATAATATAATAAAAATAGCAAACTTAGAATGCCAAATATAAATAAAAATTATAAAATAAATAAATATTATAAAAGCTTTAAAAAAAAATGTCTAAACTTTCTTTATTAAAATAATAACTGGCCTTTTAATAATAATAAATATATAAATTTTTTTTTATTAAATAATTACTAAATTCTTTTTATAAAAATTCAATTCTATAAGAATAGTAATTCTAGTATAGTAGTTGAATTGTCATCCTTTAAATAGCAGATCTAAGGTTCAAATTTTACCTAGTATGAAATTTAGAAATTAATCAGTATTACAAAAAGCTGTCTTCTGTTGATTAGTTGAATTTAGACATAATATGTAATTTTAAATATACCAAGTCAGATCATACTCATCATATGAAGCTTAGTGCATTTATGCAAAGTATAATCTTACACAGATATAAAGAAATGTTAATAGTCAGTATTGCATAAAACTTTGGTGCAAACTCATAATAAAACCATTAGGTACAAAAAACTAAGAAACTAAGAAAACAGAATTCCACTTAGAAATTTCTGAGTAAAGAGATAGCACAAACTTTTAACAGTGCTATCAGACTAATAAAAGCCTATGAAACACCAATAAGAAATAAGCAGATATGCAACTAGATGACAAAATATATAAAAAAACATATAACCAACTATGCAGCCAAAATTATCAGAAAAAAAGAATACTAAGATATATTATATTAGGCCATCTGAATTGAAAATTCAAAAAGTCTATCAGATTCTAAGTTGAATAGTAGAAGGATAAAGAAAAAAGGCAAAAAGATAGTTACTAACTTTATAAGTATAGAAATAGTGTAATGTAACAGTTAAATAGATAATTTCTGTAACTGCAAGTGTTAGATAACTATAGCATATTACATAAAACTAGATCAGCATATATAGGATATAAATGCTTTAGTAAGTTTTTTGTCAAGAATAAAGTAGTTCTAAAGGTACTGATAAGCATTAGGAACTTGAATAGGTATAACTCTAAGATGTTTTTATAATACAAGATGGATTACATATGCAGAAAGTTTAAATAAATAAAACTTCTAGTTGGCTTGCAAGTATGGCATCTGGTATGAAACTTATATAACAATATATAAGTAGACTTTTAAATTAAGCACCAAAAGTATATATGTGGCTAGTTGTAACCTTCTATGTAATAAAGCCTTTAAAGGCAATCATGTTTTATAAACTTAAATAAAAAATTATATCTTGAAGATAGAGACTTTAATATCAAAAAAAAATTTCAATTCTTGTAATTATTGTCTTTACTTAAAGTATTGATATATTCTATATAATTATTATATTTTAAAGTATTAAGATTAACTGTAGTTATATTATTTTACTATTTTGAAGAACTAAAAATAGTTGAGGTTATATATATTATTTAATTATTTAAAGTAGTAAGATAATTGAGAATATTGCTTAAGAAAATCCAAAAACATAATAGAAAAAATATTTATTTATAAATATCAAATCAACTATTCAAGTCTAAGTGTCTTTTTTTGTCTAAAATAATTATAATTTATATAAAAATTTGAATTGTAGTATATATAACTAAGTTACTATTTAGTCTAATTTTAATATATTATAATTAATAAATATAGTATATATAGTATAATTAGTAAATATAGTAATTAGAAAATATAATATAATTAGTATAGTTAGTAGATATTCTATAATTAGTATAGCTAGTAAATATAGTATAATTTGTATAATTGACAAATAAGGCATAATTAATATATTTAGTATATTTAATAAATAAAAAATAAGTATATAAGTAATGCATCCAAATATAAAAAACAAGTAAGTTTTACAATATAATTAAAAAAGTATATTCATTCTTAGTACTTGTCAAATTCATTGTCTTTTTTGAGTACTATTACATTTAATATTATGCAAGCAACTAATAACTATTTTATAAATAGAAAATTTTAAAACATATATTTTTTATAATATAAAAATACTATATTAAATATATTAATTATAAAAATTCTTTTATCTAAGATATTAACATTTCTTGTTACTATT